CAATCTCTTCTTGTAGAGCTTCAGGATCATCAATTTCATTTTCAGTCATTTCAGTAGAGGTATTGAATGCAACTATTTCTTTTTTTTTCTTGATTTATCTTTTTCAAATGCGTCCTTTCGAAAGCAATGAGTTCTCCTCGCAGTTCATCATAGGACAATTTGTTTAGGTCTTGAGATTCCAGAGTGACTACTTTGGTCAGCCAAGTGGTTGGCAGACTTCTATGAATTTTTCTGACTTGATCACCACTGGTGTAGGGCTTGCCAAATGCCTTTAAGTCACTAATTATCTTACTAAACCTGGCAAACATTTCTTCAATGGATTCTTCTTCTTTCATTAAGAAGAGTTCGTAGTCATGAACTAGCATGTTGATGTGAGTTTCCTTTACTTTGCTGGTTCCTTCATAGGTGACCTCAAGTTTATCCCACATCTCTTTGGCTGTATCACAACTCGATATTTTCTCGTATTCCTCACCACTTATAGCATTGTGAAGAAGATTTCTTGCCTTGTTATTCACTTGTACCGCTTCCAGTTGCTCCTTTGAGTATGAATCTATATAATCAGGATCAGCAAGTGGTGGAGTGCTAGCAGGTAGGTGATAGTTTCCCTTTTTAATGACTTTCCAGACTTTGACATAGTATGCTTTAGCAAAGATTTCCATTCGTACTTTCCAGTGAGAGAAATGTTGTCCATTGAAGTATGGTGGTCTAACTTGTGAAGTTCCTTCCTGAAAGAGAGCTCCTATGATAACTTGATTTGCCATGATCTTTTCTCACATGCTGTTAAGCCAAAGATAAAATGTGAGCCTTGATCTGATACCAATTGAAAGTACAAGAGGGGGGGTGAATTGTAAATACTTCAAATTAATTGCTTATAAGTTGACTTAAAACTTGAGTAGTCGGCTGAATATGATAATTTAGCAGATATAGTAACGGAAAGTAAAATGCAGAAAATAATTGCAGGAATTAAAAACACCGGGATTTTTATACTGGTTCGGATTCAATGTGAATCCTAATCCAGTCCCCTTGGGTTGCAAGGGAGTTCTCTTCAATAAATGAGTTTCTTCCGAGTACAGATGTGGTGTATATCACTCAGTTTCTCTAACACTCGTTTTTGATACAATGCCTCGCCAGTTGTGTGCTCTCTTTCTATCCCTGACTTGTTACACAACAGATCTTAGTGAACTACAATGCTTGTTTGCAATTGAATAAAGAGAGTGATTTGGTTTGATCAAAGTATGTCTAAGCTACGGTTTACAAGGGTGTATAAATACTTTGATGGATGGTAGAGGCTTGACAACCCAAGAGATTTGATCCTTGGAAAGAATTGATTTTTTCCAAGAATAAGGAATGAGCCGTTGCTTCTCTTGATTGCTTTCCTTCAGCAGAGGATTGCTTCACTTGATTTCTCCTTGATTGTTGGATCTTTCAAATGTGGTCGCTTCCCAGATCTCCTCGTATCCTTTTGTCTTCCGTGATTCTGCCCATGATTCATGCCTTTGTCCAAGGCTTATTTGATTTTTTCCAGCTCAGCTAATCATAGTTATTGCTGATTGATTCGTTGATTAGATTCCGCCCAGATTTACGAGACCAATCCAGATTTGCTGATCACATGCTGATTGATTTCTTTCCTTGTACATCATGAACCATTCCAGCAGTCTTCTTTACTTTTTGAACTTGATTTCCTGCACATGTATATTATTTGCATCATTAACACATGATCTAACATCTCTATGTTGCATGTTCGAATTGGACTTTTGGCGACTCTGAGCTGTTTTCAAATGCTCTTGAATCAACTTGAGTTTCTCCATAGACCGATTGACCAAATCTGGTCCCAACAACTCCGCTTTGCCAACTTCGGAGCAACTAATTGGCAATCTACACCATAGTCCATAAAAATCATTCTTTCAAAATGAGCGAGATAATCCTATTATAAGGTCCATATTTACCATCTCCACTAAAGGATGTGTGTGTTCTGAGATAAACACTTGGTTTTGTGCTGCTCGACTTTCACTCGCTGACAATTCAAACACTTGGCCACAAGGTCTGCAACTTTCTTTTTCATGTCGTTCCACCAATAAATCTCCTTAAGATCATGAGACATCTTTGGGAAACCTATGTGGATAGAATACCTGAAATTATGGGCTTCTAACATCTTCCTCCCTTACTAAGTCCATCTATGGTTGAAACACACAATCTATCGTGGTACCTCAAAGTACTATCATCTCCCCCTTGTTTAAAAGCGATCATCTTATTCCTGTGAATCCCCCTTTTTAGATACAACAAGTAGGGATCATCAAACTATTTCTCCTTCACTTCGGCTACTAAGGAGGAACAAGTAATATTTTAGACAACAATTCCACTATCTTTGGAGTACGCAAATTGAACTCATAGCTGGGCTAAGCAGTGAACTTCTTTCACCAGAGTTCTCTTATGTACCTCAATCATGAGTTATACTTCCCACACTTGATTATCTTCTTAAGCAATTCCTGAAAACGCTTATAGAATTATTGTGAACTAGCCTTTGACATGTACTCTAAATTTTAGAGTCTCGTGCAATGGCACTACCCTCATAACACATAAATAGGCATGATTGTATAGCTTTTCTGTGATCACTTTATCATCAATAACTAAGCTCGGTGGTCATTCTACTCACTTTGTTTTTCTTACACATGCTAGACATATTCCTTGTGGTAATTATACAATTTTCTCTCGTTACCGAACTGTTTTTTTTTCATATCCATGCTAACTATTCGGGTTTCAAATCTCTAACTGGACTTACTGAAAATTTTCATTTCACCCCTTAGACCAAAGGTCTTATACTTGCGGATCCTTCTATTTTTTTTTGTTGGGATCCAAATGACCTTCCTTATTTTCTGCAATTCTTTGCACTCTACGTCAATGACGTCTCATCTCCCAACTTACTTCTGAGCTAGGAAAAAATAAATTATTCACATAACGTAAAGCTAATGTATTCTCGCCTATCATACACAATCTTAATAATTTAACTCTGCTCACACTGTCAATCTTGGGGAAATCACATTTTGATAATTCCTAAAGGCTATTCTTCTATAGCTTGCTCTCTCACTGTTAGTTGATATTTTTTTCCCACTGCTACTGTACTTCGAGTTTAACTTAACTCTTCGGGTTCTAACACACGTTCGGTATTTCAAACTGTCATCCACTCACTAGAGTTAACCTGGCTAAGTGAATCAAACTGTACCCCTACTAGCTCTGCTGAAAGTTCTAATTTACTGTATCAACTCAAAACTTACTTACTGTTCTTTTACTAACCACCTGCTACCATCATATTTTCTTGCTCTGCTTTGAATAACTAAAGTGAAGCATAAGGTTATTCTAACTTCCCTCACCATCCAACCTTGTTCTACGGTCGCATACTATCCTTTTTTTCTTTCTCCTAAACTATGTGCATGGATCACACTTAGGGAATTCATCTGCCTTAAATGAAATTGGAATATCTAACCCCAACCTTTCTATACAACACTAAATCATATCATACTATAAACATCCCGGGTAATCACTTAGTAACATAACCTAAGGGGGAACTGCCATATCTTTTATCTTACTTCAATAGCTGCTTCTTATAGTAACTTACTAACGTGGTACTTCTAGTCCTGATTTGAATAAATCTAAACAACTTAAAATCATTCCATGAAATTCACTATTGGCTGCTCTTAGTTCTCATTGCATACATCATATTTTCTAGTCATTTGCATGAGTTCTAAGAAAATACATCTCTAATAATAACAATCGTTTTTGATTCCTAGGCTCTTTTCTGTCCAAAACTATAGTAACCAATGTTAGGGTCTGACATCTGAACTATCATCATCCAACTTGTGGCTCCATTTTCAAAAATTAAATGAAGTTGTTCTAGGAGGTAAAACACATACGAATACACTACCATGCACAAACTTATCTATTAAAGTATACCATCATCGGATAAATCACTTCATGCGCCCTCCGGTGAGTCTTGGTCTTAATCCGGACCTAAAATATGCGAAGATTTCGCTATGGTCACTGTTACTTACATTTTCGTTTAGCACCCATAGGCATCATTGTATACTCACCAGTCACCAGGATTTTGATACATTGAAAATTAGATATTTGGTAAACATATAACTGAATACTGGCGTACTGAATAACCATAAATTTGCTAACTGAGAGACTGTATAACTGGTAACTGAGGTAAACTGATAACCATAAGACATGATAATGACTTTTGTACTTTCTGATAAGGTTATGCTCTAATCTATACTACTATCCATTGCATCCCACTCTTAACATCCTCTCAAGTCTCATTTTACCAACCTGTACTCCATAGTTATACCCCAATGGGCAATTATCCTCTCTAGGACCTTAGGTTTCTCCTGAACGTTGCCTGGGGCATCCAATACGTTTGGAATTCGATAGGAAGAGAAGGTTAACTATTGCTCTAGGCTTCATGGCACGATCTAGAGTAGAAAGAAATGAGATAATCCTGGATGTCTTGGTAGTTAACCGTATATATGAGTGGCCGGCACACACATATAAAGGAACTCCACTAGACACGACTTCACAGACTCCCTAGGACACTTGAACCCAATGCTCTGATACCAAGCTTTGTCACGCCCCGAACCTGGGCCTGGACGTAACACGGCACTCGGTGCCTCACTACATATGACCGAGCGAACCAACTGGCTGGCTGAATCAACATGTGGTATCATAACATACTGAATGCGGAAGATAAACTAACACATGCTGATATACTGAAAGTCTGGATGATATAAATCAAAGTGCGAAAATACTAATACAATTCTGAAACATATTTGTAGCCAACATAGCTTAATATGAAAAGCCTTTGACTCTGTCTAACTATTACTCTAGTCTATGAAGCCTCTAATGAAGTATTGGAAACACTGACTGCCTGTAAACGGAGAGACCGTAAAGTAATGATAATGCCCCGAAAGAATTGGGGATCACCAAACAGCTAGTACGAGAATCCTAGCGCTCTGAATCATCAACCTGTAAATCATTACCTGCATCATGAGATGCAGGCCCCGGACAAAAAGGGACGTCAGTACATTTGAATTGCACTGGTTTGTAAAGAAACTGAAAGAAAGAATTATAAATGCTAAAACTGAAACTGAGCTGATAATTGAGAATCGATAATTGATACTGAAAGGATAACTATTGAAACAGAAACTGAAATGGTAACTGATAGCTGATAAAAAATAACTAAAATGATAACTGATAATTGATAACTGAAATGATATCTGATAACTGAACTGATAACTAAAATGATAACTGATAACTGAAATGATATCTGATAACTAAAATGATAACTGTACTGATAACTGATAACTGATCACTGAAATGATAACTGATAACTGAAATGATAACTGAACTGATACTGAACTGAACAACGGAAGTAAGGATATGAATACTCCATCTTCTGAATGATGAACAACCTGTTTCTCTGAATATTAAACTGCGGCCTCAGGCCAAATATATATATATATATATATATATATATATATATATGTGTGTGTGTGTGTGTGTGTGTGTGTGTGTGCGCGCGCGCACAAACTACGGCTTCAGGACCAAGTAAATGTATACATAGCTGCAACCTCAGGTCCAAAAATGCATAAAGCATAAACTGCAGCCTCGGGCTCAAAGATGCATAAAGCATAAACTGCGGCCTCAGGCCCAATGATGCATAAAGCATAAACTACGGCCTCAGGCCCAAATACAGGTGTTCAACATCCAGGAACTGTGAATCATACTGAGTTACATGATACTGGAAAACCCAAGTCTATATTCAATACACTCTGAGCTCATAACGTTCAGAATGAAAGTCATGAACGAGTTATGAAGCTAGAGAATAGAAGTTCTACAACTATTCAAGGAACTGGGCTAAACTATATCTCTGAGGCATTTAGTAACGTCGTAAAAGAAACGTAGTGTATGGAGAATCATTAAAATTCCCAAACATAGAGAGTTAGCCTCAAATACCTTAACTTCCTGCTCTTGAGCATAATACAACGTTTGCCAACCCCTTTCAACTTTAATCTATATCAATACAAATCAAAGGGATTCCATATTAGCAATAATTCTCACGTTTTGCTTACTTAGACATTTCCTCAAACACTTGGTGGCATAAAGCTTCATAGTCCTTATTAATGTTGTCTCTACACCCAATAACTCATTCTCTTGCTCCTAGATAATTCTAAAGTCTTAAATGGTTATAATCAATATTGTTCTTTATCACCCATAAGGTAAACAATACCCTTAACCAATAATCAACAATCAACACACCAAACCTATAACCGTTCATACTTTTCTATCAAACCCATCAACTCAAATCTCATGAACTAGGGTCTATTATCATTAAACGAATGCTAGAATCAATTAGAGGGTGAAGACATTACCTTTTTGAAGTTCAATCTCCTTGAATTCGAGTTCTAGGGTTTTTTCTCTCAACAATGATGCCCCAATCGAATATCTAATAATTTGGAGGGTTTATCCATGTTAATAAGATGTTGGAAAATTGAAATTAACTTAGAATCACAATTAAAGCTTACCTTGGGTGGTGGAGGGACCCTTAAGGAGTTAGGTTTTTGAGAGCTTTCCTTTCTAGAGCAAGTTTTTATGTTTTGGGGCTGTGGGAGACGAAATAGGGCTAAAAAAACGACTTCCCAAGTTGGCCACCGCGTCCCAGTTGGCGCGACCGCGGTCCCGACCGCGGTAAATCGCTGGGACACTGCCTCACTACCGCGGTCGCGGTAAAACGCGGCAGGAACGCGGTGGTTACACACCATTCTGTAGAACAAGCATAACTTTTTGCACAGAGCTCCGATTGGGCTCCACAATATATCGTTGGAAAGCTATTTCAATGGCCTACAACTTCCATGCTTCGAATTTTTCCAAATTCCTTATACTGTTTCACTAAACCCTGCTGTAAGACAGACCTTCTGCAAACTTAGTCGATTTTGTCAAATCTTATGCACCTCACTTTCCATCTTGGTTTTGAAACAACTATTTTCACCCATAATTATCCCGATGGGACTTCACATGTTCAAAATGTAACCTTACTACTCCTTTAACTCATTCATAACTAAGTCGAATTTACGGGTTGTTACAATTACATAAATATAAAAAGAAAATTATTTGTCTAAAGAAGTTCACTCATGTTATGTTGCTATCTTCTTGCAGTCATTTCCACATGAACAATACATCAGTGTGCCCAAAACCAATATATATCGTCCACTCCTTTTATTATATACACTATAAGTATATGAGTTTCAGTAAATGAAATATCTTGATCATCACTATCAAAATAAGGGTAACCTGAATTCTTAGTTTATTGTGGAAGCAAAAATTCATTCACTTCCCTCTTAATATAAGCTGCATGCAGTTTACTATCAAGCAGATCGTGCATCTAAAAGACAACATAACACAGTAGTACCTCATAAATCGCAGGGCGAGTCAGTGAATGAATCCATCTCCTACACTGACAGAAGATAATAAAACTACTTAGTTTCAGAAGCCACATAACATAAAGAACAACCAAAACGGAAATATCATATTTTAATTATGCAATGGAAATAGAGATGCAATCAAGAAGCTCAGATATCACAAGGCATCTAATCATCAATAGGTTGACAAACACGTAAGAAGGATTCTATTGATACAAATTTCTACTGACCTAGTCGTCAAATGAGACGAAGAGAGAATTAATGAAATTAATTATCTATTCCTTAGTGTTTAAATAGATCTCCAGACAAGAGAGATAGAATGAAAGCTTTCAATTAATGATGAATTCCCGATGGAACGACATTAGTAATGCAAGAATTATCCACATTCATTCCCTTCTCTCGAAAAGCTTTGCTTTTTCATATACAAATAAATTTGAAAAGACATCCCCTTTAAAGAGTATGCTGCATTTTCAGTGCCATATGTATAGTTACCAAAACAAAATATCCTATATTTGTGTTCTAAGTTAGATGTTTATATCATAAATCACCACAGAAAAAGAAGTATGGAATATGAAATTATTTAGTTATTTCAGGCATATCGTCAAGCACCTTAGTTGTTCTTCCCTTTTAAGTAGAATTTTTTGTCCAGAGGAAATTCAATGTGCTTAGAGTTGTTACAGTTTGTTTACCCGAGAAAAAAAATTCATAGAGAAGTTTGAGCAAAATAACCACATGGACACACAGAATCCACCCAAAACAATTTTGATAAAAAGAGGAAAACTACATGTAAATCAACAATTCAAAATCTTATAAATTGAATTAAGAATAAAAATAAAGCACAAATTAAAAAATAACTTTACAGAAAAATGAAAATTCTAAATCAATATTCTATAAAAAAAATAGAAGAAAAGATTTACTGCTCACCAAGAAAGAATAGAGGAAAATTTAGCGGAACTCGGAAATCTTCTCTTCCTCCATTTTCAAGCTTTTTGAATATATTTCACCTATCATGATTCATGTGCACAGAAACCCTAAAGGATAATTAAACAAAACAAATAAACAAATTTGAGTACATTAGAAAAGGCAGATATAACAAAACGGGAAAGAGCAAACAAACAATAGAAAATTACCAAAGACAAAATACACAAGGACACCGTAAAACTCAAGGAAAAAATATTTAGTTTGAGAAACTCAACCCACTTATACGAAGAGTGAAAGAATCGAAAAGGCCTAAACCAAACATTCTATTGTCATAGATAGATAGAGGTAGACGGTTCTGTATGTAGGAGTATTGGATATGGTTTGATCCTTTCAGTAGATGAGATCAGCCACATTAAAGCCTTTGAAGAAAAATACTTAACAATGCTGCTATATTCATCTGCAAGCTCCAACGTGTGTGTGAGAGAGAGAGAGGATACAGGAGAAGCAGAGAAAAATCAAAGGGATTAGGTAAATTGGTAAAGGGGTTCAGTGAGAGAAAAGAGGAATGTTTCAAATTAAAAAAAGTACACGTGTTTTCTTAATAGAGTACACGCGTCATGAAGATCCATAGCTTCGAACAACTTTTATTACTTTTTGTACCATTGTCAGATGCAATGTTCGTCCACCCTTAACCACTTATATATAATAGAACTAGATATTTTTGCCCCATGGGCAACATAGAAAGTTGTTGGGACAATATTATTAGGATGTATTGTTGTTTAAGTTATACACTTTCAGTAGAATATAATTGTAGAAAATTATGACCGCTGAAAGATTTGCATCTGCTATTACGTCATTATGTCCATCAATAGTGGTGTTGTGATGCACTCTTGAAGTAAGAAGGTTTATCCCGTGCATATTTTAGTTTATCTCGCAAAAAACTTTTAATGCCTTGATGTTCAGAAATTATCAAGAACATTGCAAATTTTAGTAGACTATACAAATAATGACAAAATAAACACAAAATCGAAACTTACAACAGATTGTGAACAATGTAATTCTCCAAATCTGAATGATACAACATATACAATATATATGCTACGTTTAATTAATTAGAATGAGCATATTTACACAGAGTACAATATGCTAATAACCCAATGAGCAACAACATAGTAGCTCAACACTCCAAGCGTGGCGGAATTCACCCCTTTTCGCTCTCCAAGGAGCTGTTGACTAATAACCTACAAAACGCGTGAAGCAACAATACATTGCGCTCTTCATGATCTTTTAGCCATATTTGCAGCTTTGAGTAATCCATAGATATCCAAGGATCCTTTTGCTGCAGCCTCTCTTGTATCTAATTGAATGCCTTATTTCAGGAAAGCGTCAACCACGTTAGAGTTGGACTAGATTCAGAGTACATATTACAAAGTTTAGACTTAAACTTTTCACAAGCATATAAAGATTAGTAGTTCAACAATACCTGATAAAGGAAAGACAACAACTGAGGAGGGGAGGTAGCTGCCCAAGATATGGGAATTCACGTGGTATCGTTCAGTATTTTACTAAACATGGTATGATCTTCTTAAGTTCCTTGAACTTGCAGGTAATTCTTGTTGAAAATATAGATGCATTAAAACTCAATGTTATTGACGTTTAGAGTTGTATCCATACTATGAAAATATCAATGCTGACTATTATTGACATCGGAATTGTAGCAATAGTTTGAGAAACTTTCCTGGAAAAATCTCCTAGTGAATAAATGTTAATTAAGTTCTAGGTATCTGCAGGTAGAACAAATGACCTCATTAAACTTCACTTGGCATGTTTAATGTATGTCGTACACCGTGTCTAGGTATATGCCTTGATTAGAAAATGCATAAATGGTTTTGGCTACTTATTTTTAAACTTCTTGCAACCTAATGTTTGCTTTGGAGTTTGGCTAGTGCAAAACAGTTGATCAACAAAATGGAGGAAGAGAGAGGAAAATAAAGTTTCATACTGCTGGAACTATACTTATCCTAGAGCGTGCCTATAAGAGCCTCTAATTTTAACCCATTTGTCTCCTAAAAGACATTAAAATTATTGTAGTAGCTTCAGTACGTGGTAGATGATAGAAGAAGTATACGACATGTCTAAGCAAGAAAAGATTACTAATGAAATGGGCCCCACTTCAGTGTACAATTTATAAATCCATTTGTACAATAGTAGAATGCTCAGTTCGTACACCCTTAGCCATTTATTATATAATAGAAAAGAAACTAGATGGATGATTTCTTGTGTAATAACCCGAATTTTTTTATATACTTATTAAATGGTGAGATTTAAGAATTTGTTTAGTTTGTAGCTGTTGGGTCAGATATTAAATAAGTTAAAGGGAATTTGCTATAATATATAAAATATTGTACTAAATAAGTGTCTAGTGGCTAACTTTTTTTTAACTATGCTTATATAATTAACTGTGGTTAATTTTTAAATAAGGAGTAGTAGGCAAGCCCATTCTCTTATGGATGCTATAATTTAGTGAAATAGGGCCACAGCGTAAAAAAAGGAAAAAAAAATAGAAAATATAGCATGATTTAGTCTTGTAGATTTGACGGCAGCACCTTTGAGGAAAATAAATATTTAGACGCTTTAGCATTGGGAAAAATCTACGAGTGCTAAGGACGTTAGTTTGTTTAGGTGTTACAAATTTTTGGTATTTGACTATTGAATTAATTTTGGTCAATTGATAACTATGGTAGTGTGACGACCCGGCTAGTTGTTTTAAGAATTTACGCCCCGATCCCCTATTAACTTCTTTCCCCGTGTTTGTTTCTGCTGTAGTGAGTTGTCGAGAGGAATTATTTGGAGTTTCGGAGAGTTTTGGGACACTTAATCCCTAAATGAGAGCTTAAGTTTTGGAAATTTGACCGTAGTAGGAACAGTGTGAAGACGGCCTCGGAATGGAATTCCGATGGTTCTGTTAGCTTCGTCGGGTGATGTCGGGTTCAGGAGCGTGTTCGGATTGTGTTTTGGAGGTCCGTAGCTAATTTAGGCTTGAAATGTCGAAAGTTGAATTTTTTTGAAGTTTCCGGTTCGATAGTGAGATTCTGATCTGAGGGTTGGAATGGAATTCCGGAAGTTGGAGTAGCTCCTAGTGTTGAATGTGACGTGTGTGCAAAATTTCACGTCATTCGGACGAGGTTTGATAGACTTTTTGATCAAAAGCGTATTTTGAGAGTTTTGAAGTTCTTAGGCTTGAATCCGATGCTAATTGGTTGATTCGATGTTGTTTGAGGTGTTGTGCAGATTTGTATAAGTTTGGATAGTGGTATATGACTCGTCTGTGCTTTTGGTTGAGGTCCCGGGGGCATCGGGATGATTTCGGGTGGTTAACAGGAAGTTGGAAAGTTGGAGTTTGCAGCTGAAGTCTTTGGGCTGCTGTCATAACCGCATCTGCGGTTGAGAGCCGCAGATGCGACTCCCGTAGACGCGGAGTTAAGCCGTAGAAGTGGCCAAGAGTAAAGTGAGCAGGAACCGCAGAAGTGGACGTGTTACCGCACTTGCGGGACCGCAAATGTGGTATATGGGTCGCTGGTGCGGAGAGGGAATTTTAAGTGAGAACCGCACAAGCGGTATCGCAGATGCGAAAATTGAGTCGCAGATGCGACTTTGCTGGGCAGAAAAATCAGAATTCGAGGGTTTAGATTCAAAAGGTTAAAAATTGATTTGGAGCTCGGGAGAGGGAGATTTTGGGAGGAATTTGAAGAGGAAATCATTGGGTAACAATTTCTTAACCCTTTCTAGTTGTATTCCATTAATCCATTATTAGTTTTGTCATTTAATTTCAGATTGGAGATGAAAATTGAGGAAAAATTGAAAGAAAGTTCTTAGACCTAGAATTCGAGTTTTGACTGGGTATTTGACATTGGATTTGAATAATTTTGGTATGGTAGGCTCGTGAGAGTATGAGGATTCTGAAAACATAAATTTTACCCGATTCCGAGTCGTGGTCCCGGAGGGCGTTTTGGTCATTTTACCTAATTTCGCGTATTAGCTTAGAATTTAATATCAGTTACTTGAAGTGTTATTTACATTATGCAATTGAATTGAATAGATTAGGGCCATTTGGAGTCGAGTACTCGTGGCAAGAGCGTGGTTCGGGATTGATTTTGAGCTGGTTCGAGGTAAGTGGCTTGCCTAACCTTGTGTGGGGGACATTCCCCTTAGGATTGGTATTGTGATAATTGAAATGCCTTGTACGTGAGGTGACGAGTGCGTACTTGTGCTAATTATTGAAAATCCTGTTTTCGCTAAAGTAACTTTAGTTGTATTTTTTTCCTTTCCTACTTATACTACTTGAAATTTAAGCCTGCTGTTAGCTTAGGGAAACATGTCTAATTGACTTAACTGCTTATTTGCTCAAACTTTTTTCATTGTATTATGTGTAGCATGCTAGGTTAGAATTACCTATATTATCTTGGTGTGAATTAGACTTTAATTGAGTATTCTTTGTGTTGGTGTTGTGTGCTTACTTTGGGACTATGGGACGGCATCCCGGGAGATCCCTTGCACGTATATTGGTTTTGACTGATGTGCGGGATACCGAGAGATCCCTAGCACATATTAAGGATACTAAGAGATCCTCCGGATACCAAGAGATCCCTGGCATATATTGAGGATACTAAGAGATCCTCGGGAAACTGAGAGATCCCCGGTTATTATCTCTGTGAAAAGTGGTACTCTTTGTGATTAATTTGTCTCTATTTCAGTTTTTTTTTATCCTTTTACCCTGTCTTATTTCTTACTGTTAGCATTCAATTATATTGCATTATTCTATATTGTTATACCTTATGTTTCATTTAATCTCAGTAGGGCCCTGACCTTCCTCGTCACTACCCGATCGAGGTTAGGCTTGGCACTTACTGAGTACCGATGTTGCGTACTCATGCCCTTCCTGCGCATGTCTTTCATGTGCAGATCCAGCTATCGCGACTCAGTCTTATCACGCTTGAGGCGAGGCGCTTGTAGAGACTCCGAGGTATATCTGCCGCGTTGGCAGACCGAAGAGTCCCTTTCTACTCTTCCCTTAAGTATTAGCCCTTCTGTATTTCTTTTCTTTATTAGGTATTCTGGAGTTAGATACTTGTAGACGTCCAAAAGCTTTAGCCCTTCTGTATTTCTTTTCTTTATTAGATATTCTGGAGTTAGATACTTGTAGACACCCGAAAGCTTGTGTTTCATGAGATTCCTGGTTTTGGGAAATGTTGTTAGTTTCGTGAGTTGATATTGTATATGCCGAGCGGCATCCTAAACACTGTTTTATTCTACTATTTCAGTTTTCATTATTTCTTCCGCAATTTGGTTTATTTTCCGCATTGTTAGGCTTATTCGTAGAGACTAGGTGCCGGCACGATGGTTCATGGAGGAGCGAATCGGGATCGTGACAAGTTGGTATCAGAGCACTAGGTTCATAGGAGCCATGAATCACAAGCCGGTTTATTAGAGTCTCGCGGATCGGTACGGAGACGTCTGTACTTATCTACGAGAGGCTATGTAACTGTTAGGAAAATCCCACTTTATTTGATTTCCTTATCGTGCGAGATTTTGATATCACAATTCTAAACTTCTGTCTTCTATTCACCCACAGATG